ACGGGGTGATGGGTGCGCGTTTCGCAGCGAAGAGTCTGCCCTCAGCGGCCTGGGAGGGCAACACCCCCGCCGCTCGCGCCGCAGCACGACCGCTCTCTCGCTTCTGACTCTGGCCGTTCTAGCAGAGAGAACGTTAGCGTTGAGCAAAGCAGCACCGATCAGAGTCACAACAATGCGGAAATCAACGGTCGCAAAAAGGGATTTCATTTATCAGATTCTTGGACGTTTTTTGTTGTTTTTCGTCGACCTTGCACCACTGACCACATCTATTCTAATTTATAGCATGCTGCTTTTTCATTGTAAACTTCGCCTTCAACATGGGGTAACTGCCAACCAACAAGGCGGGAAATAAATTTCTACTCACGTAACCTTCCCATTTCTTGAGATACTGCTCATGATAGTGCTCTGACATTCTGAAAATTGTGCGCTACACTCTATCACATTTCCTCGTTTCACGGAAATAAGTTTCCGGAAATCGTCCCCTCACCAAGAATCTCCCATGGGTTGCAACGGGCAGGGGCCAGCATGCGACATTAGATGATCACAAGTCATTTCCATAAACGAGATTGTCGCCATTCAAAAGTTCAGAGTCAAATTAAAAGTTTAGACAAGTTTAGAACTTCTTCCATTCAGCCAGACGTTGAGAGCACAAAGTGCCCTTGCTGAACCTGTGTCATAAAAATCGCATTTGCAGAGGTCCTAGCCACGCCCGTTCGACGGCAAGTGTAGTGTATGCGAATCTATAGAAGCCATCACCTGCTACGATTCGAAAACGGGGAGAAGCCCTTACCCACAATATCCGAAAAGTTCAGATTTTATTTAGTTTTGAACTTTGTCAATTCACTGGGTGCTTGGTGCTCTTGCGATTTGAAATGCTCGACTGCTGTCTGGCATGTGCTGGAATCCATCACTTGCAAAAACATGGCAGAAATCTGGATTCACTTAAAGCTGCTCTTGAAAAAGACGGGCTCTATGACGTCTAGTTACGCGCCCCCATGTACTCTTCGCCAGATGGATCAAACAAGCTCGACGTTGTAAGGGTAGATTACGATTTCAGTATAGATTGACCTACACTATTTCTCCCTTGCGAGACCAGGTGAATGTTCTCCTTGCTTGGAGGCCCAACTCAATTATTTAACAGATTTCGAGCATTTTCAGAAGTGGCTACTACAGATCAACTACCATCTGCAAGTACTGGGTTGTCCGTAAACTTCCTCGTCCAGCAGAATAGTCACCCCTAGGATGACCATTGCTGAGCGCATGTGTTAGCGTTTCTCGATGAACCTTGACATCTTGCTGAAAAACCTATTCTACTGTAATAGTTCCACCTCGACTGGAAGGAGTGCCACTGCAAACGGTGTAGCAGTAGTCATACACTTCCAGCGGAGGTCCAAAAATTCTTTCTTTTGTGCGATAATCCAATCCAATGGGTCCTTTTCATTTCAAGGAGTTATATGAGTACCAGACAATTATTCTGAACCTTGACTTTTTGCGGCATTCCCTTGTCAAATTTCTCGAACATCTCAGGCTTCGTGCATTTTGAGACCAAAGTACCCGCCTTACTTAACACATTGACGACATTGAGACGCGGTAACGCGTCTCACTTTGCGCACCTCGTTGGACATTGAGACGCGTTACCGCGTCTCACCCTTATCATCCCTTTTTCTAGCGTATGCGGGATTTTCCCGAATTGCTTGTCTCTATTCTATGGATTACAACATAACATAACGACATGGGTCCACAGTATGATAAATCATTCACTTGGTTAGCCAGAAGTTTTTAAGCACAGCGGAATTGGCAGCTCGGTTCATCCCTCGTTTTCTTTATTCTGATGAACATGTCAGTGAGAAAAGGTAGTGAAAGTAAATACAAACTTAAAGGGATAGAAAGATATATGTTTCACTTGACACATCCACATCGAAAATAGTTTTGGCATCCACTACAGAGAAAGGACTTAAATTCCAATTTTCTTTACCATTTCACGTTTTTTGATCGGAATTTCGCTACTATATCTTCGATTACTTTCTACGCATTGAATATTGCTGAAATGGTTTCGTACCTTTGAAGCTTCCCAAGGTTATCGTTCGAAATTTACGGTGTGAGGTGTGACGGCCGCGCTCGCAAAAGCGCCCTTGTCCCACGCGGTGCAAAAACCCAAAACGCGCGATGTCGTCGTCAACGTGTTAATTTTAGCGAGCTTCTCTACAGTTCTATGCAGATATGGTCTATTCAAAATCCTTTATCAATTCAGTCAATGAACGAAGTCATAACGATTCTGAATAAAATGATTAAAGAATGGAGCATTTGCCATTGGAGTCATCCTGATCGGGATGCGGCACCCATTCTATTCATTTGTACATACGTAACGCGTTGGTGGAATGCCGATTTGGGCCAGTAACAACGAGTGCGGGCGGCCAGCTGATGTAACAATGTCAGTGCTTTCACCTATAACGGCTCTTGATAACGATTCCATGTTGACGTCAGGCTGACGCGCATGCGCATCAGACATTTGGGTCGCACTGGTCGCATTCTGAGACGCATGCGTGTCAGCATCATGGTACCCATTATTTGCCGCACATGTCCAACTTCCTCCGAAATTTTTTGTCACTATTATATAAGCAATTAGGCATACATTATCATGCCTATGAACGGTGTGGTCCATGGAGGGGTTCAATATGCTCCTATTGAACGAAGGTTTTCTAACCTCAAAAAATTCCAGTTGAGTTCAATCTTTAACATCTGTTTTGCAGTAAAGAATGCAAATAAAAACACATTATAAATGCAAATAAAAATATGATACTATAATGCCAAAAATTTACGATCCTATGAATGACATGTTTTGTGTTTTTCACTGAAGCATTCGATGCAAAATAATGTTCTACATCTTCTGCAGAGCGTGTTAAACCTTTTCGTTCTTTGAGACCGCAAACAGATCCTGTTCTTTGACCATGGTTACGCAATATCCTGAACACTTCTGCTGCTAACCCTTTCGAACCGTTAGCTATTTCTTCGGACACATGTCGCATGGGAAGCTACGAGGTAAGCAAACCAACCCTTTTGGCGTTTCTGCTGGGGCCGTATGCTGAATGTTGGGGAGGGGATGGGGTCCCCGAGGTCGACGGACTACTTGAACTCGGTCGGTACGGTAGGAGAGTGATGACGAAGTGGTGCAGCTAGGTCCAGCAGCTCCGCCAAAAGGGCTGGTTTGCTTCACCCCAGGACTAAGCCTTGGAGAGAGGACGGACAGGTCCGTCCTCTCTTTAAGGCTTAGTTCTGAGGTAAGCACCAAATTGTGGCGGTTTTAAGGACCGAGTTGAAGTGGTCCGTCGACCGTCGGGGACCCCATCCCCTCCCCAACATTCAGCATACGGCCCCAGCAGAAACGCCAAAAGGGCTGGTTTGCTTACTTCGAAACTAGTGACTTGAAGAGTATTCACGCTCTACGCAGTCGATACGATAAATTGGTTCCCGTTCGATACGAAACTAGGTGGAAATTGGTGAAGAAAAACCAATCATGCTTTCCAATACTCGCGAACAATTGAAATCTACCGTTAATCGCGCTGGACGAGATCTAGGATAGGTAGTGCCACCAAGGAACGCCTTGCTCTGGCATTCTAATTTCTTTCACCGCAGCCTCATCAACTGCATACTTGTAGGCCGAGTACACCATCTGGGGGAGCACTCCACGAAGACGTCGGTATCAGGGGCAAGGTTTTTCCTGGCTACTGCGGTAGCGCCCTTCGCTGCGAAAGCGCCACTTCTCGCTCCTTTCAAGGCCCACCTTCGCTTCACGGTATTCATACTTCCAACTCTACAATATACAATTCATCGTATCACCTGCCTCTAAACAATGCTCATGATGCCTAGAAAAGTAATGAACCGCTCATCTGAGGGAGCATTCCAACCACTTGAAAATAAAAATTAAAAAATTAAAAATCACATGAGAACCAATGAAATGATATTGAATCATATGACTCATCATAATTTTCTTCATTCAGATCTCGCTGACTCGTGCCAAACGACGTTGTCCGTGCGCCCAGTTGGTTATCGACACGTGTACCTGCAAAGCGGACCCCACGCCACGCTGCACCTGTGGGGCACCGATCTCGCCTCCATCGTGCAGTTGTGCTGCTCAGACACAGGCATCTCTCTGCCGACCGTCATGCCAGCACACCTGCGTTTCGACATGCTCTCGCAGTGAGCCCAAAGAACACCTGCCAGTCGTCGTGCCATTACACCTGCTCCGAATCGTGTATGCCAAAGCAGACCATTCCGATTCGCGTGCTCGTGCACCAACCAAGCTCGCCTGGAACAATGCGCGGATCGGCATGCCAGCAGTCATGTCAGCAATCCTGCTCTCCCCAAGCATCGCCTTCCACTTGTCTGCTGCTGTGTCGCCAATCTTGTGAGCCGAGTTGTGTCTCTGCTGCGGTTACTCCGAAGCCTGCTCCAGTACCTCAATGTGCTTGCTTGTTGTGTATGCCAACCTGTGAGCAGCAGTGTGTGTTGTCAAAGTACAACGTCGTTCATACTCGAAGTCGATAGTCAACTAGCTGGTAAATCCCTTGTGCAGCAGCCAGCCGACCATAGAACTCATGCGAGTGAGCGCCTTGCATCCGCCGCTCTGTGCACAACAGATTCACGCCAGCAGTATCTACCAGTCCTACAGCGGCCTCCACGCCAAACTCTGCCGCAGTGTCTGCCTTCGTGTATGCCCTTGTGCAATCCGCAGTGCATTGAAGCACAAGTCAACAGGCCTGCCTCTCCTCCAGCTTCTGCTGCCCAGTGCGTATCTACCTGCATGCCCCAGTGCACTCCACAGTGCATACAACTACAGCTGACGATTGCCACCCCTGCAACCGTCCAAACTCCACCTCCTCCTCAATGCATAGCAGTATGCATGCCAGTTTGTTAATCAGCAGTGCATTCAACAGGCACAAGTGGTCACTAGACCTGCAATTGTCCCAACTCCCCCTCCTGTTCGATGTGTACCTGTTTGCATGCCCCTGTGCACATCGCAGTGCATCCAAGCACAACAGGAAGTCAATAGGCCCCCACCTCCTCCAGCTTCACCTACTGTCCAGTGCATCTCTACTTGCATGCCCCAGTGCGCTCCACAATGCATCCAACAAGAACTGATACTCACTGCACCTGCCACAGTTCGAACTCCACCTCCAGCTCGGTGTGTGGCAGTGTGTATGCCACTTTGTAGTCAACAGTGCATACAGCAGGCACAGATTGTCACCCCTGCTCCAGCTCCAACCCCTGATCGATGTGTACCTGTGTGTATGCCACTGTGCACACCGCAGTGCATTCAAAGTCAGAACATCAACACGCAGGCTCCTCCACCCACACAAATTGCCTGTAGTCCAGCATGTCAGCCTTCGTGCGATCCACAGTGTATGGAAACAATAACTCCTGATATATCTTTGCAACGGCCAGACACCTTTCAAGCACAAAATACCCAGCCAAATCATATCCTATCGATTGGATCTACGGAATGTGTACCGCCAGTGTCGACCGGCATGTGAAAAGCAGTGCCTTGACACCTATTTTGTGGTGCAAAACGAGCCACAGCAGCCGCAACAACAACAAGCAGCAGCAGCAACAACAACAACAACAACAACAACAACAGCAAATATCGACTTTTTGCCCGGAGCAGTGCCGACCGAACTGTGACGAGCAATGTGTGCAGCAAAACAAAAGCTTCTCCATAAACATCGTTTTCGAGGAGCCGAAGCAGCAGTGCGATGAGGCGTGCATGCCGGCCTGTGTCCCTGAATGCATCCAGCAAGCATCCGCACCAGCAACCCTCGTATCCCCTGTCCTGAAAGAGGCTGCACAGTGCGTGCCTGAATGTATGCCTTCATGTGAACAGCAGTGCTTAAGCAGGATTACCGGCGTTGCCACACCTCAACAGAGCCAGCGACTTCTTTATTGCGCTCCACAGTGTCAACCGACATGTTCCCCGTCATGCACTGAGGTAAGCCATTGAGTGATCCGTTTGATTTCTGCGACCATAATTATTGTAAAATTCATTTCAGGCTTACATCATCATACCGCAAAACGACAACAATTGCGCTCCAAGTTGTCAACCAGCATGCGAGGCTGACTGCAATCAGGTGCCACTTCATAAACTAACTTTCAATCAAATTTTGATATTCGAAACCAGGTCGTTCGCGTGACTCAGATATTAATAGCAGGGGGAAGTACTTCTTTTTCTCTTTTATCTATTCTAGTTCCTGCCACAGTAGGGTCCAGTTGTCTTGTTCTCGCTATTTTGTCCTATCTAACGCACCTCCTGCCGTGGCTTTTGACTTCAGTGAGCTCCTTCTTTGTGATGTCCCCCACCTCTTGTTTGGGTTCCTTGCTCGCTTGGTTTGCGCATTCATTCAAGCTCGAGCATTTCCTGCAAGCGGCTCTGTGGCCATCTGCATAGTGTCTATCGTCCCTGCTACAATATCTCTAAGTGGATGGAGCTGTTTCCTCAACCGCAATGCTGTCCACAATTCTGACCCTCATTGGTCGCGCCCAGAAGCACGTCATTCTACGTTCCATTCAGTCAGTAACAAAATATTTCTCTCGCGGTTCTAAATTGTACTATCAAAATATTAGCTTGTCAGTTGAGACTCAGCGAGCCTTCTGATACAACCTCTCTGAGCGTCCGGACATAGGAGTGGTGCCAGTACTTTTAACCGCAAATGGATTAATGGCTCCGCAGACCATACCAGCAAATCGCACCTTTCCACATTGTACAAACAATCGCTATAAATAGTAAATGGAATCAAAGCCTCATTTGCCATCGCCACACTTACACAATACATTCAACAGTTACAAGGAGACCCATAGCGTAAAACTAGAGCTCATAAGACATTCTCATGAATCACACATTTGCTATAACCCGTTTTTACTGCGCAGATACCACGCGTGTCACATGGCGGCTGAAAATGGAGTATCACCATAACCCCAAATACTCATTAATATTGACTAGCACCCGCTTTAACCTTCCTAAAACTACCAACTTTCGGTGATCTTTGAGTGTCGAGCTTCATCTTGCACGTCCGTGTACCACTGCACTGTGCCCTTCATTTTATCCCGTCTTGGGCACTCGACGCAGAAATCCAATATATTTTGATCGGTCCGATCGGTCGCTTCAGTCCCGACAAAAGCCTCTACTATTTATGACCACTTACTACTTAACACAAAGACTATACTCCTTATTCTCCCAGTTTGAAGGTTTTTTTGACCAGTGATAAGCTTTGGTGGGGTGACAGTCGAATTTGTGGGTTAACACTGGTGCCCACCACTAGCGCTTGACTTTCCTCTTCCTCCTTTTTCTTTATGCTTCTCTACCGAACATGCCGGGCTCGCGAAACTGATTTATGAGAATCCGTGCAAAACTTAGCCCACATATGAACACCCTCCGCTTAACCGGCGTAACCAGCCACATGCACCAAAAGTTTTCCCATCAGTAAGAAGCAGCAGGATAGTCAACTAATAAAGTTTTTGTACTAGATGAAGGACACAAAGTTCACTACAAGGCTTTCTAACCTTTTCAAGCTTGACAGTTGTGCGATGGGCCGAAAGCTCGTCAGAGCCTTATGAAGTTCCAAAATGCTTCTGCAATAATTTCGCAACTCTTTTTTGGAAAGCTTTGAGCCTTCTGCAGTAAATATTTCGGTGTTTTCACTATTTTTTACACATTAGTAGTTAACTAATAACTGAAAAAAGAAAAATAAATGCGAACTTAAGTGGCCCGCAATGGGTCAAGAACCTACAGGGTACAAAACTACAGCTACATGGATTTTACGTAATCCACACAGCTAATTCTTCAGATTCAGCTCGAACAAACAATCCAGTGCTCACCTCAGTGCGAGCCGGCGTGTGAACCGCAATGTGTGCAGCAGTACCCAGCAGCAGCGGCCAACCAAGGCATGCAGGTGAGAACCTTCACCCGTCACCAATCTAGATAATTCGGATAAGACCAACTGAAACCGTATGATGAGCTAGTTTGTGTACAATTTCATTCTACTCCATCATTTCTAGGTCATCTATTCCCTGCCAACGGTGCAGAACGACCAGTCATCAGCACAGTGCGCTCCAGCTTGTCAGCCGAGCTGTAACCCGGAATGCACTCAAAACTACCAGTTTGACATCATAGTTCCACGGAACGACGAATGCATGACTCCTTGTAGTCAGAGTTGCTTGACCAGCTGTCAGCAACAGAACCATGCAAAGTACGAATGCCAGGTACGATATGAAAGAGTCCAGTTGTTTAATTTGCAGATAATATAGAAAAAGGAGTTTATAGGGTGGGGCATGAATATGGTGGCAGAACAGTTGTGGCCCAGTTTGAACCAGAAATTTCGAAACTGGATCACAAGTGCAGTAATGGATGACCATCTTTCAAACAATTGTTAGCATTTCGTTTCAAAATAGCCGCTTATGAACTCGGCATTATTATTGACCATTTATTTAAAGGCATGCCCCAGGATCACATTGGTGTGGCTCTTGCACACGAATGCGAATGTATTGGTGCGAAATGGGCCGGCAGTAAAGAAAAAAGGAAAAGAATCCGTCGAAAACGCTTAGGTTAAGGGCTCACTCACCTTCCTAATCGGCTGTGCTAAGGGAATGAGAGACTAAGCGCGGAGAGGAGAGTATGAGGCGAGAGAGCGCTACAGATGAGAGAGCGCCAGACAACAGCCTGATAAGAGAAAAAATCTGCAGCTTCAGCAGCTTACTTTGCAAGGCCCAAGCGCTCTTGTCGGTTGGTTTCCGTGCACGGGAACGCCACATTTGTGATTGTCCTCTAGGGGTCTATACTACAGACCGAAGAGAAGCGTTCACACGACCTCTGCCTGGGTTGTGCCTTTAAGGACTACTCCATCAACTTCAGTAAAAGAAAAGAGTTCATCCACCTTTCTTCTTTTCGGTCTTTTGATGTAGATATATCCGCTTCCACCAAATCATTTCCGTATTTACTCACTCTTTGCGCTGCCATGCCGAAAACAGCTCATTTGTTATCGGAACTTTTCACGCAGGCATATGGGAACAAGTTTCTGGTAGTCGTGGTGCACCGTAATAGTTTATTCCCGAGTTTTAGCTTCCAA